ATACAATTAAATTAAAAATTAAATTAAATATACAAGGTGGATGTGGGGTCCGAAATTTGTTATCCGTGGCAATGCCCACAACTTCACAACAAAATATATTATACCAAGTAGAGTGATCATATGTCCTTTTTTCCCTCCCCTTGACTTCTAAATTGCCTAAAATTTCTGTTTTGGCTTTGTTTTTCTATTGTTTTCATACTTGCTGAAGCCAGTGACTGAAAAGTGGTTTGACCAATAGCGTGAAGGCATTGTATGGCTCAACCAATCGTGGCGTGCGAGAAGGCGGGATCTACAGACAGTCAAAAGCAATGCAAATACACATATAATACATGAGGACTGTAGAGAGACTGCCAATAGGAAATCAAAGCCAGAACCCAGACGTTTTAGGCAATTTAGAAAAATCCATCCAGGACATGTCTGGAAAAAAGAGGATTTATGTGAATCTGGGAATTAATCCAATGCCATGCCATTGCCCGTGTCATTATTAAATGCAGCTCATCCCTGCGACCTAAAACAGCTTTGGCTTTAAGAAGCATTGTTTAACCACTTCTGCTCCACAAACAGAATCAGTTTTGAATGACATTATCAACAGTATTTGAGCCATGTGATTAAATCAGGCAAAACAGTGCTGTCATTTGGAGCTCAACCGATGAAACAAGCATGACTTTTTAAACAGATTTAAAGGAATAGTTCACCCAAAAATGAAAATGTGCTGTCAATTTACTCCCCCCCCAGGCCATCCAAGATGTAGGTGACTTTTTTCCTTCAGTAGAACGGTAGAGTTTTATATGAAACCGTGCTCCTTGGTGATTCATAAAATGCAAGTCAGCAGTTGCATAAAAAAAAAAAGCATAAAAAGCATATCAAAAGAGCACAAAATGAATACCCGTGGTTCCTGACAATATGTTGAGATCTTATGATTATCTTATGTTGAGGTTTCAGCTAAAAATCGCCTTCACTGTTCTACTCAAGAAAAAAAACAAAAAGGCACCTACATCTTTTATGGCCTGAGGGTGAGTAAATTAACAGCACATTTTCATTTTTGGGTGAACTATTCCTTTAAGGTTTGGTCAGGGGATATGTTCAGAATAGTGTACTAGCATACTACTCATACTATACAGTATATGCAGGATCCATAACATGCACATTATGAATGTTATCTGTAAGCATACAATACCTAGATAATGTTTTACATTCACCACAGTGCATATCTAGAGTACTGTATGCCATAATGCAGTGTGACTACTTGATGCAATACCAATCTTGGACTTTTATCTGATCATTCACACATTAAAAATGCAAAATAACTCTTTATTGCTGATATGCAAAGTGGGAGATACATGCTTTATTATGAAACATGCAGTGTAATGAGGTCATATGACAACTGCAGTGCATACTGCACTTGAAAGTGTTTATTTGTTGCATATGTTTTGCATACTACAGAACTTAAAAAAAAAAAAAATACTGGCAGTATGAAGTACAGTATATACTGTGCAGTATTAAGCAATATGTTAGTATTCCATTTCAAACATAGCCAGGCATTGGAAATCTCACTTTACCACATGTTAAGGTAATAACCAATCAGAAAGGAGACGTACTGGTGCCTAACCAATAGAATGATGCCAAGGACAAACATAAGTAAGATGCAATAGGCCGGAGTGAATTTTTCCCTATTGCATACATGTTGGACCCCACACTCCCACAAAGTACTATATATCTTGTGTTTTAGTGCAGAAACATGCTATTTCAAGTCTCATATTTAAAAATCTCTAAAAAGTCTCTTGTGGGCCGAGTTACTGAAAACGTTTTTGCAGTAATAAAAAAAATAAAAAGTAAGTCTCAATCAAGTCTCACTTCACTCCAGACCAAAGCTGCTGGTCTCCTCCACAGCGGTGAGAAGTTTCTCATACAGCACAGGGTACGACGGATAGGGAGGCAGATCCAGACGGTTGAAGCATGTGTGCGCCCTGCAGCAGACGAAAATACAGAGGTCAAAGGTCAGGAGGAGGCTTCCATCATGACCTCAGACTGAATAAGTGAGACGAGCTCTACACTTCTGTGAGCCGCTTTGCTGTAAAGTGCAGTTTTCCCCAGCAGAGCATGTGAAATTCTGTATCTGAGTGAGGCATCTGTATCTTTTCCATCACATTGGCCTTACTTAGTTCTGGCTGCTGACGCTGTGCACACACAATGACAAACTCCCAGCCGTTCTCACCCTGTCAGAGAAATATGAGCCTGTACTTTAGTGCTGACGGCGCCAGGCTTTGATGCGCAGAACAGAGTGAAATGATTTTCAAGACGTTGGATGCAAATTGAGCTGGTTTTCAGGATGACACTTTGTCATCTCGGGTAGCTTTATTCACAAGTCAACAGTAAGGCGGTTTCTTTGCTGTTGTGATTGAATTGATTTTAAAAAAAAACTATATATTCATTTAAAAAAATAATAAGACAAATACTAATCAATCCTTGGTAAATTTGATATATTTTTCTACTTCAGCTAGCATAAAGCTTTCCCTCTTGATGAATTAGCCTTCCTCAAGTACTAAAAAGTCATCAAGAGTTTTATAAAGCTGTTTAGCAATAATTTGGGATGTGTGATTCTGCAGGCAGAAGGTTTGTTATTTCTTGCAGTATACCTTGGTAGAGAGGTCATGATGATGTATAAATCTCAATTAAAAAAAAAATTGACCCTTATGACTGGTTTTGTGCTCCAGGGTCACATATAAGAACTATGAAGAAGTTCCTCTGGTGTGAAAGCCGCTCTTGTTTAACTGGTTCAGGTGTGTTTTATTGGGACTGGAGCTGAACTCTGCAGAAAAGTGGCCCTTTGAGAGCAAGAAACAAGCTTATTTAAATTAGCCAAAGTATAAGAAGAAAAGAGAATGTGTCCCTCTAAAGAGGCCCTTCAGGCTTCTCGATCCGAATGTGCATAGGCTGTGCAGGAAAAGTCAACAAAAGACTCCAGAGACTCAACCGAGGTTATCTCGACACCGTGAAACCACAACACCGCAGGGTTATATGAAATTCTACAGGGTTCACCCGTCACGCTTTTAATGTCAACAGCTCCGTTCTAAATGATGAACTGCAATCTAAACAGATGGGATACTTGTTTTGGCATTAGCTGTGGGATAAATCCCGTTGACCCTCCATAGTAATTCACAGCAGAAGACCTGAAAGAAAAGTGAGACCACGTCACATGGAACAAATGCTTAACCCAAGCAATAAAGCTTAATGAAGACCATGTGAGCATTTCTCTCCAATAATTAAACATTTATGGATAGCTTTTAGAACAAAACTGACAATATTAACCACTGTTGACAGAGCAGCTGCCATGAATTTTTAAAGTCAACGCAAGCATCCGCTCACCTCCTCTATATTCTGTGTTGGATCTCCAGTCGTTCAAATCGATCTCAGCCGTCCCTGCAATGACCAACTCCAGCTCACGAGCATCGAACACTGAAACCAGACGGGAGTCTACGACCTGCATTGTAAAGGAACAGTTTATACAGTACATGACATTCAAATCATCTGAATTAGATTAGTGAATAATTCTTTAACTCACTTTCAGTGAAACTACCATTCAAGCTAACGTACCTCATAGAAACCTCTTACAAGGGCTTCGGTCTGCTGCATAACCCCCCTCTCCACTCTCCATCTAGCCATGCGCTCGATGTATTCCTTCTTGTTCTTCTCTGTCACTTGGGTATTGGAGCCTCCCGATTTCAGTTCCCTCTCTATGACCTGTCAAAAGATGTAAAAAGTTTTAACGGTTGGTACAAACCTTTGTTGCAGCAGAAATAATGTTTACAAGTATTACTGACATGGCAACTATAAAGCATGGATTCATCCTGAGCCACCTTTTTGTTGTGTGTAATTCTTTTAATGTTAAAATATTTATCCAAGATTTGTTTAAGTAAGCCAGGGGTGTCCAAACCTGCTTCTAATGGGTTATCATTATAGAGTTTAGCTCCAACGTATCTCAACACACCTGCCTGGAAGTTTCTAGAGATCCTGAAGACCTTGATTAGCTAGTTCAGGTGGGTTTAATTAGGGTTGGAGCTAAACTCTGCAGGACAGTGACCCTCCAGGAAGAGGATTGGACACCCCTGAGGTAAGTCATTAAGACAGTGGTCTCAAACTCAATTCCTGGAGTTTAGCTCCAACTCACACCTGCTTGGAAGTTTCTAGTGATCCTGAAGAGCTTGATTAGCTGGATCAGGTGTGTTTGATTAGGGTTGGAGTTAAACTGTGCAGAGCTGTGGCCCTCCAGGAATTGAGTTTGAGTCCAATTCATTAAGAAGTTGAGTGTTAAGCCCGGGATACACTGCACGATTTTAGCAATCCTATAAGACAGGGGTGTCCAACCCTGCTCCTGGAGAGCTACCGTCCTGCAGACTTTAGTTCCAACCCTGCTCCAGCACACCTGTCTGTAATTATCAAGCAACCCTGAACACCTTGATTAGCTGGTTCAGGTGTGTTTGATTGGGGTTAGAGCTGAAATCTG